ATAAGCATCATACCAGGGAAGGAAACACCCGTGGGGTCCCATGTAGCAGCCATATGTCCACTGGAGGGTGTGAGACCCTGACCCCGCCCCGAGGTCAGCCCCGCCTGGCTCGCCCCCCCGCGGGGACTGAATCTAAACTGACAGTAAAATCGGGTCACAGTCCCCGTGGGCTCCTCCCGAGTGGCACTCTGACCGGGACCCTGGGCCGACCCCAGCCCGTCTGTGGGAGGGGGGTCGTGACAGCCCGTCCGTGGGAGGGGGGTCGTGAACAGCCCAGTGCGCGGCTCACCGTCCTAGCTCTGGCTGTATTAGCCATGCAGGGTCTTCAGATACACTCCGAAAGTCTGTGCGTGGACCTTGAACTTTCCAGTTTCTATGTCCCAATACCCCGGCCTCTCCTGCTCCACCCATGGCTGCTGCATCCATGGAGCCCGGGGCTCCGCCTTTGAACTCACAGCATCGCTGTCAAACCGCAAAATCTGTGAGTATATGACAGACAGGAAGTGGGGTTCCACGCGGCTGGGCCGGGACACGCTGGTGTGAAAATACCTCAGGGAGTGGGGGTCTGCGGGGCAGACGGAGGGCAGGGTCAGGGCTGGACACGCTCCTTCGTGGGCCCGTGCCCCCTCTAGGTCCCCTCGCTCCTCCTTGCACAGCTGCCCCCTCCGACCCCGCACTCACCGGCCCAGCTGGGGGTCAGGACCAGCGCCCCCAAGAGCAGCAGGAGGAGGGTGGGGGGCCTCAAGACTCCCATCCTTGGTGTCCCTGGACCATCTGAGTCACAGTGGGTCCCTGGAGATATTACAACCTGGAAGCAGACGCCCAATGGGAATGAGCAGTGAGGCATCGTCATGTGTATCCGGGAAGGGGGACTCAAAAGGGAATTTGAGATGGAGAAGGGAAACCCCAGGGAGAAGGGGAGTCCCCAACACTGAGCAGCTCTGCTCCAGACTCCTCCCTGGGGCGGAGACCTGAGAGCCAGGCTTGGGCCTGGGCCTGGGCCCCGCCCCTCCTCCTGCAGGGGGCGCTCTCTGCCCACTGTCTCCCTGAAGGAGCATCAGGCTGGTGCTCTGAGCTCTACCTCACCCAGAATACGCCAGTCATCCCATCAAAGCTTTCGAAGCTTTTATGAGTGAACTAGAGGCCCAGTGCACAAAATCTGTGCACGAGGAGGGCGGTCCATCAGCTCACCTGCACCCTCTCACAATCTTGGATGCCTTGGGTTAGACTCAGGCCTAAGTTGGCAGTCGGACAGCCCTCTCACAATCTAGGACTGCTGGCTCCTAACGACTCTCCTGCCTGCTTGATCACCCCTAACCCCTCTTCCTGACAGCCTGATCACCCCTAACCAGTCTGCCTGCCTGCCTGATCAGAAGGATGTCCAGAAGACGTCTGGTCTAATTAGCATATTACCCTTTTATGATTATAGATGCTTATTCTGAAATGGAGGGTTCAGGTTGGCTTGAGGAAGAGTGCTAGGAACTGTAGTTTCCTCATAAGATGATGTAAATTCTCTGTTGGATCCTAGACCTGCCCTGTCTTTCAGTACCCATAGAGATTGGAATTTGCTTAGAGCAGACTATTCATATTTGTGCTCTTCCTTTTAGGAATA